CGTGCCCCAGCCCAGAGCGGCGGTTGGTCCTCCCTCTCACAGAGCCGTGAGCCACTGCGGACCCGTGAGGACGAGGCTCGTTTGTTCCAAGGGGAACTCGCCAGAAAACAGTACACAGGCATGCAGGGCGGGGAGGCGGCCGCAACGGATCTCCTTTGTACCCCTGAACAGGCGGGGATTCCGTGGCTCAGGGTGAACGCAGGCGTGTCCAGTAAGAGGCAGTGGCCATCTCTCCACCTCGTTCCTGTCGGCCACCTTCGCAAGGTGCCCTTCATGCATAGGGCTCGCGGAAAACTCCACTTCTGGTTTTCATTTCAAAGTGACAGGGGCTTTATCCAGAAGACACTCCCAGAGTCTCGAGGGGAGGTCAGCTGCCTTGTGACTCTCGGCGACAAGGGGGCAGGCGGCCGTGTGGTGCGTGCCGGGGCTGCTGAGTGCTCTGAGCGTCGCCCCAGCCTGTCTCTCAGTGTGGCCCGAGCACAGCTCATGCCGTGTCTCCTCATTCTGCATCAGGAGCTTGGGCACTGTGGGGTGTGTTTCCACGGGCATGGACTGAGGGCGTCAGGGGGCACCCGGGTCAGTGACACAGACACGCACACACAGCTCTGCCTTCGGGGCGCCTTCATCAACACAAAATGCCAGTTAACAAGCATGTTTTCCGGTAACGCTGCCATTGGTACCCAGGGTGTCGCCCTGAAGTGTGGCTTTACCGCCGTGGAGCGTGTTGTGTTCGGCCTCGCACCAGCCTGGCGGCTTCCCTGGTGGACACTCCGGGACCTTGAAGGCTGGCTGCGGTGCTCGTCTGAGACCGGCTCTCGCACACAGCACTCCGCGAACCGGTGTCCACACCGCAGCCACGCGGAGCTTTCTCGTGGAGGGGCCGCTCAGCCCTGGTCTCCTGCTGACCCTGTGCATCTCCCTTTTTCCCGACAGCTGACAACAAAGACAAGCTGGGGGGCACTTCTGGACTGAAGATCCTGCAAACCGGAACGGGGTCGGTGAGTAGAGTGAGGGGATTGGTGATCGGCGTTGCTGTCCCTGTTCTCGTGAAGGTCCGGCAAAGGCCAGGCCTGGAGGGTAACTTGGACACCGTCGCGTGACGGGTGCAAGTCGGCCGTTGGCATGAGGGCAGGCTGCCGGCTGGCAGAGCGCGGGCTGGCCTGTCCGGCTATCTCCGGGATCGCAGTGCAGTGTCTCCCCAAGAAAGGGTGGTCAGAGAGCCGCGTGATTCACCCTCAGATGTCAATGAGAAGGGAGCCTGGAGGACCAGGCCCCGGGGCTGGGCGGGTAAACTTGTCTTTGTTAAAGGCAACACGAAAGGATAAATGTTTCCCAAAGATATTTTACACCCCATCAAACACCGCGTCCGACCACAGCTGTGTCGGAGGAGGCCCTTGATCAACCCCACCATCTTGAAGCGTGGCGGTGCTCGCGGCTTGGGCTTCCGCGTCGCGTGACGGTGTAATGCCGCGTGTGCAGGGTGTGGTGCACTCCTCTCCGCAGCAGTGCCACCCGGGCCACCGTGCAGCAGCTCAGCCTCCACAGCGCCCGCCGATCCGGGCCGCTAGCCATCGAGGGTGCTCATTGAGGCCGTTCTGCCGCTTGGAGATGAGCCGCCGCTTTGGAGAACTCCGGCGCAGCGGTCTCGAGCCCTGGGCTTTGGAAATAAGCACTGGCTGAATTGGTCACTGTCCCCAGGGACCCCGGCGCTACCCGAGGAGCGCAGGCAGAGTGCAGGCGGCACTGTGGCCGGGGCGGTGAGCGGTCAGAGCTTCCCGCCTGCTCGGGCTGACGTGTGGCTGCTGGCTGCTAGGGGGCCTGCCCCGCTTAGGTTTGTGGGCTGGGAAGCACTTGGGATCTGGTGGCACCCTGGTCCTCTCCCTGTCGCTCTCCATGTCTCCACAGTGGTGAAGGCTGGGAAGGACACAGAATACGGGGTCCCCGGGCCCTGCCTGTGTCCCTGAGTGGGTGTGGCCCAGCAGAGAGGGCGGAAGGCTGGGGGTCAAGCAGAGCCTCCATTCCTGCCTGCAGGGGTGTGGTGGGCGTGAGCTCTCTCCCAGCTCGTCAGTGGGCTGTGTGGCCGTGGCTCCCATAGGAGGGACGGCGGCATCCGTAGGGGTGGCACCTGCAGCCAGGTCCCAGCGGCAAGCTCTGGCCCGTGGCTCCGGCTCCTCAAGGCTGGAGCGGGTAGGCTGTGTGAGGGAGGTCCAGGCCTTTGGGCATCGCCTGGGGCTCGCGCTGTACCCGGACGCATAGACTCCTGCTCCTCCAGGAACGCCATAGGCCTGCTGGTGCCCGCTGCCTGTGCAGTGACCGTCGTGGTGTCTGGGCACTGCCGCCCTCGGTCTCCCTGTTCGGCGTGCGACACGGTGTCCTGTTTTTGGGGAGTCATAGTCTCCCCGCAGGGTGCGGTGAAGGTCCACTGAGGTGTCGGGTAAGGGGCCCACTGTCGCGTGCTCTTGGCGCCGCCTGCTCCACCTGGGACAGGTGGGGCTGTCTTTTGATCCTCGCGTCTCAGTGACTGTCGGGCCTCGGCCCGTGTTGGCGCAGCCAGTAGTGTGCTAGACCGTGGAGCTGGAGCCACGGGCCAACCGCAGCTAAGTCCGTGACCGCTGTCCTGGGGACACGCGTGCCCGGGGTCCTGGTGAGCAGAGACGAGAAGGGGTGCGGTTGCCCGAGCCCTGGGAGGGGCCCCGCCCCCTCTCGCCCCTTGCTCTTTCTCACATCCCCCGGGTGCCGAGCGAGTGCGAGGTTACAAATTACCCCGGCCTCTCTGGGGAGTGGGGAGAGCCACCCACAGGGCCTACTCTCACCCCGCCACATCCCAACCGCCTCCTCCCGGTGGCCTCCGCGCCTTCCTCCGCGCCTGATCCTGACCCGCTGGAAAGCGAACACTGGCTACATTTGTTGCCGCATTTTTCACTTCTAGAAAAATTAGTCGTTCATGTTTTTCAAACCTGTCTGTTCTTTTCTTCTCTGTCCCCCAGTCCACTGTGTTCGATCCCTTTGTCTTCTTTCTTTCTTTCTATTTATTTATTTATTTTTAAGACTTTTGCCATAGAGTACATGTGCTCACCAGAGAGACAGTGAGAGGAAAAGTGAGAAATCACCCTCCAGCCACACCGCAATCCCGGCTCCTCTGTCCTCCTGGGCACACGCACACACACTCCTGGTGTGACTCGCCAACTGCCAGATCCAGGACTCAAACCATGCCTGGCCATACGGGAGTCCCGTCCCTTCACCGCCATGCCGCCTACTGACCCTCTGCTCATATCTTGTGAACGGTCCTAAGCCGACTTTAACCGTAGGTCTCCTGCTTTACCAGGCCCTCATCTCCAGTTTCCTCCTGTCCTGTCCTTAGTCCGTCACCTCCCCTTCTGGAACGCTGGTCTGCTCCGTTTTACGAGGGCCCCCTGCCCTCTACCCGCTTTTCATCGTGAGTGTGTCTTTGGCAGGGTCGGACTCCCTGGGACGTGACTCTCAGAGCACGCGGTAAGAAGCTCTGTGCCCACGGTAGGCCTCTCCTCGAAGCCGCTGCGCACTCAGCGGTGACTTGGGCCCAGCCTGGCGCCTGGCACAGCCCAGCCTGCCCAGCTGCCGGCGGCTTGTCCCTGGGCCCCTCCAATGGGAGATGCACGTCTCAGACTTGTAGACAGATCAACTCCTGCTCTCTCACCTCCATCGAGTCAGGGGTACAAACACCCCAAACCCCAAGCCCCATCAAGTTTCTGAGAGCAGCTAGCCCCAGCCCCCACACGTGGCCTCGCTTTGGTGTCATTCGCTTCTTGAATCTGGAGGCGCTTTTCCTGTGGTTCCGGCTCACGTGGGGAGGCTGTTGCGCCGGATGCGCCGTCTCGCGTGCACCGGGTCCCACCCGTGGTGTTCATCCAGCCGTCCAGCTGGCGTCGCTGAGCACCTTCTGCATGCCAGGCATGTCCTGGGGGCTCACGCGGCGGCGGAGCGCCCAGCAGCTCTGACCATGCGGTGCTTCCGGTGGGCGGTGGCGCTACATGTATGCAGCCAGGGCGTCTCCGAACCCCGACTCTAGTGGGCAGACGTCTGTCTTCACGTCAGCGTCTGTCACACCAGGTCTGTTTTGGGGCACATCTCAGAGCCCCGTCACCGAGTCTGCTGCTCCGGGCCCCCCTCCTGCTCGTCCCCTCCCCGTGTCCCTCTGAGTCCCTCTCTGTCAGCCTGCTGTCCTGCCCTGACCACACTGCTCACGGCTTCAAACCAGATCCTCTGGGTGCACTCAGCCTCGCCCGTGGCCTCTGAAGCCCCTGCCTCCCCTTGCCCTCTCTCCCTGCAGCAGGCGTGGCCACAACTGTGCTCCTGCACTCCACCCCGGTCACTGGCTCCTGCATCCCTGCTGGGTTCCTGGGTGGCGGGCCTCTGTCTGCCGGCTTTAGAATCCCTCCCTGCTGGGCTGAGAGCTCGAAACCCATCATGGCGAGCCTCGAGTCTTGAGGGAATATCAGCAGGTGGTCATTCCCAGAGACATGCACATCCACACTCTGGGTGAGACACCTGTCCTGTATCACCCACTTTCCCCTTCACGTGCACACATGTGGATGCACACGTATCCACACACGCGCTGCCTCCACTGTCCCGCCTGTGACCTAGACTCTCGCCTGACAGAGTAGGGGGTCCTGCGTCCCAGCTCCGTCTCTCACTCACATTAATAGACCAAACGTGGGACCAGCAGTTAGCGTAATGGCTATGTTGCTGGACTCCCACATAGTCAACCATGGTTCGCATCCCAGACCCGGTGGCTTAAAACTCACTCCGGGCGCATGTGCGTGCGTGCCCAAGATCCCGAGAGGAGAATAGAAGAGAAGAGATTGTGGTGGGGCAATCCGCCCAGGGGGGGATTTCTCGCTTTCTGTCTCTCTGTCTCTCTCTGTCTGGTGAGTGCATACGCCCTATAGCAAAAACCTCTCAAAAA